GTGGTGTGTGGTGTGTGTATGGTGTGTGTGGTGTGTGTGGTGTGTGGTGTGTGTGGTGTGTGTGTGGTGTGTGTGTATGTGGTGTGTGGTGTGTGTGTGGTGTGTGTGGTGTGTGTGTATGTGGTGTGTGGTGTGTGTGTACATGCACTCATGCCATGGCACATGTATGAGGTGAGAGGGCAGCGTGTGGAGTGGGTTCTCTTTCTCTCTGTATGTGGGATCCAGAGGGTAGAACCCTGGTCTCTAGGCCTGCAAGGCAGGTGCCTTTCCGCACTGAGTCATCTCCCCAGTCCTGACAGCCTGCTTAGATGTAGATGACTGTTAAATTTGGAACCTTTCATCTTTTGCTTTTAACCCCATTCCCTTTCCCAAATGCCTTTTGTGGGATTTGTGTAAGCCCTGCACAGTTCTCCCCAGAACGGGTGGAGCCTCGGACTACTTTCTGACTTCACACCATGTGGGTCTACATTTCTGTCTAGTGAATGTCAAGTTTATTCTTAGCTGTCTGGGAAAAGCTCTGTCTCCAAGGACTAGTCTGGCATCTTGGGGTTTGGTGTATGTGAGTGTGAACGAGTGTGTGTGTGTATGTGTGTGTCTCAGGAGTGGGGAGGTACCATGGATGGGCTCCCTGAGGACAGCCTTCACCTCTCTGACTGCAGGTCCACGCCACCCTGGAGCTGTTCGCCCTCATGGTGGTGGTGTTTGAACTATGCATGAAGTTGCGCTGGCTGGGCTTCCACACCTTCGTCCGGCACAAACGCACCATGGTCAAGGTAATAAATATATCCGTTCCATTGCAGCGTGTTCCCCTAGGTCCCTGTCACACCTGTGATCCCTGTTGGCTGGGTCAGTACGTTGGAGGCTGGCTCAGGGAGCTAACCGCCTTTGACCTCCCATCCCAGACATCTGTCCTGGTGGTGCAGTTCATTGAGGCTATCGTGGTGCTGGTGCGGCAGACGTCCCACGTGCGGGTGACCCGGGCACTACGCTGCATTTTCCTGGTGGACTGTCGGTACTGTGGCGGAGTGCGGCGGTAAGGCCTGGGGCTCAGCGGTCAGATAGTCCCCTGTGGTTGCCTGGCCGTCCCGACTGACAGGGAGGGGAGTGGGCAGGAGCTGAGTTGACTGGCCCCAGCCCAGTCCTGCTTCTGGGGTGAGTGTCAGCACATTAGCTTCAACTTGGGGGTGGTAGGTATTCTGGGGAACACAGCATCCTCACTCTGGCAGAGGGCCTGCCCTGTCTTGGTGTATAATCTCTCCAGCCCTACAACAGTGGCCTAAAGCTGACTTCTCAGCCCCATCCTGCAGGCTCCTCCCACCCAGTCCAGAGCCCTGAGCCCGAGCTGACCCAACCCAGAATTAAAGCCCTCTTTGGAGAGTCCGTCCTGTCACTTGGCCAGGGACCCCCTGATAGCTGGGCATGAGCGGTCGTCCTTTGTTGCATGTGTACCCTCCAACCTATGCAAAGTGTCCTTGGTCCTCCTGGCCACACGCAGCCTCCTGCCGTGCCTTCCCCGTAGGGCACTGTCCCTGGGTGGACGTGGCAGCTTCTACCTTGGTTCTCCCTGTCACCCACTGAATGGAGGCTTCAGGTGCATTAGGGCTGAGTAAACATGGTGGTCTCCTGGGTGCAGTAGGATGTGGTGTTCAGGTCACACCTCCACCAGCATGTCCCCCGCCTCAAGGCACAGATGACCCCTCCCACCTCTGCCACCCTTCAGCTGGCCGTCTTTCTCCCCAGCAACCTGCGCCAGATCTTCCAGTCATTGCCTCCTTTCATGGACATCCTCCTGTTGCTGCTCTTCTTCATGATCATCTTTGCCATCCTGGGTGAGCGCCCTGTGTCCCTCCAATCACGCGTGGGCCACGAAGGCTGCCCCCCCGGGGGCGGTACCACAGTGCCGGGCTGTACCACAGTGCCGTGCGCCGAGTGGCTCAGCAGCAAAAGCCTCAGCCGCTTGCAGCTCTGGAGGCTGCAAACCCAGCACCTTCCCCTACGTCCTCACGTGGTGGAAGGGCTGGGGCAGCCGGGTCTGGGTGTGTAGCCCAGGCTGGCTTAGAACCTTTGAGTGTCCAGCCTCAGTGTCCTGGTGTTGGGATCACATAAGTGCACTGCCATCCACTCTTGTTCAGTTCCGTTTGTCATCTATGTGGGGGCAGGGTGTTTTCCCTGGGTCATAATTCTGAGGAAGGAAAAAGAGTAACATGCCTGCCCAGGGCCTGGCTGCCATGTCCTCTGAGCGCAGAGACAGTCTGACCGCAGCCTGTATCTATGATCCTTCCCACAGATGTGATTAGTTTAAAAACCTTGCATCTTAAAATTCAATTTTATGCAAAATTTATACAGATTTTCAGCCCTTTTCCATGGCTAGACAGGACAGAGCCAGCACTCACTCCCAGGTGTCCGCAGACTTGCATACAGCAGCATGGCTTCCTCCAGAGAGCACGCGTGTTCTCCAGAGTGCTGCAGTCCTCCCCAGCCTCCCCTCCAGCCCTCATTCACTTAGACCCCCACTCCCTGCGCACACTCATGGGTGCTCCGCTTAATTCCACTCCTGGTCTCTTTTTTCTACCACATTCTAGGTTTCTACTTATTTTCCACTAACCCTTCTGACCCAGTAAGTAAATAGGTCTTGGTCCCTTGTTTTACGGGGAGACTTTTCTGCCAGACAGGGTAGGTGGGAGGATCCTGGCCATATTAGGGGCACCCTGCCAGGTTTCTGGTTCCCAAGAGTCCCCATCCCTCGGACCTGCTTTCTCTGAGAGCTGAGGGGCTCCCTTTTCCTCTTCTCATGGGCAAAGCTTCCAGGATCAGGTTTGGAATGTTGGAACATTCTGGTAGAGAATGGAGGAGGGGATCTCACTGCAGGGACATGTGACACCCCGGGAAACAGTCCCTCACTCCTTTAGCTGGTAGCCTGCTCTCAGCACAGCTCACGAAGCACAGGCCTGCATGGGTGCTGCACCTCTGCTTTGATGCCCTTTGTATTTGAAGGAGGAAGGGGGAGAGGTGTGCCCTGGATGTGACTGTCCGGGCCGTCCACACATCCCCATCCTTTCCTTGTAGTACTTCAACACCTTGGAGAACAGCATTGTCAACCTGTTCGTTCTTCTCACCACAGCCAAGTAAGCCTGGGCACACTCCCTCCGCTGGCTCTGGCCCCACTCCAGCCCGGGGCTGTCTCCTTCCTCCCGAGGTCCTCCCCCATCGCAGTGCACACGGGGCTGAGTGGAGGGAAAGGGGGTTGCTTGAGCGCAGGGGAGCAGCTGCAAGGTGCATCCTTAGACGTTGAGGTGAGCCTCTGCAATGCAGCTTTCCAGACGTGATGATGCCCTCCTACTCCCGGAACCCGTGGTCCTGCATCTTCTTCATTGTGTACCTCTCCATCGAGCTGTACTTCATCATGAACCTGGTGAGTATCTGTCTTGGCTCTACTACAGCGGTGGGCCCCAGGGACAGAGATGTCAGGACTGCCCTACAGCATGCTGTGAGGATTCCCCGGCTCCGTGCACCATTGCTGTAGGTGGTGCTGGATTGCACAGAGAGGAGGTTTTCACCGCTGCATCTTTTCCTCCTTACAGTAAATGTTTTGCCCTAATGAAGCCAGCCAGGCACTGTGCATAGATGCAGGGCAGCCATGCTGTGGTTTCATTACCATCATATGCAGGGGAGGCAGCGGAGAGTCAGGCCAACAGAGGGACATGTGTGCCCACCACTACACAGCTCAGAGTAGCTTGGTACTGCATCCTGTCTCATTATATGCCAGGAACTTCTGCCCCATTAATGTAAACCAAGCAGGATGTGTTCTATGAGGGACACAAAGTCCCTGTGCACACTGGGCTGGCTCAGGGCCACCAGCACTGTTTGCTGACATCAAGACTGGAGCCAACACTAGGCGGAGACTCATAGCAACAAGCAGAGTGAGCAGAGACCAGGGCTTCCCACAGTTTTCTGGTTTTGTGGTGTTGTGAATAGAACTCACATCCTCTCTGATGCTGGCGAAGCTGACCACCCCTGGACCACCCCTATCCCACTGCAGTTGACTTTTACAGGCCTGGATTTCTGTGGGGCTGGGGACTGAACTGGGGGCCAGCTGAGCCATGTACCTCAGCTCTTATTTGTGAACATCTTAAAAACATCCTTGAGTTGATCCCCATAATCGACCCAGGACAGAAACGGAAAAGAGACTGGAGAGATGGCATGGTGGTTATGGGCATTTACTGCCCTGGGTGAGAACCCATTGTTGGCTCCCAGCATCTCCAGTGATGACTCAGTTCTCCTGAGGCGCCAGGAGAAGCAGATTCTCTTTTCCTCTGCTCTCACCAAGTTGAGACTCAGAAACCCCACAAGGTGAGGGACTTGTCCCCACAGGTCAGCAAGCAGTGCTACCACAGACACTGCCTGGCTTCGTCCATACAATGCCCACTGTCCCACAGACACAGCCCTCACTCACCTCAGTGGGAGCAGGAAACATTTATTCTGGAACTAAATGAGTGACCGTGGCCTGGGAACACAGCTTGAGGTTACCCCGCGTCCTGTGTTCCGCAGTAACGTGGCCACCAAGGTTTGTTGTGACACTCTTCAAACATGGTGGTGGAACTGCCGTTAGGGAACGAGGAGGAGAGCCCTGCTGTGGACCTCAGGTGCCAGCCGAGGGCACTCTTAGCCTTTGGGTTGGTGCCTGGTTTGTACATCTTGAAGGATTTCCTTAATAGCCACAAAGGCAAGGTCGCATGCAGAGACGGTTTAAATGGCTGTAAAGAAACTGAGGTAGTTTGTAATTAGGTTCCTGGCCAGCCACGCCCCAAGTTCTCCGCAGTCTCTGAAGATTTAATCAGCCTGTGGTCAGGCTGTGTATGTGCTTTCTGGCTACTTTTCCCATACCACTTCCAGACAGCGCCAGACCCACAAGTCAAAGGGCTTGGTCCCTAAACTTCAGGCAGCTGTGAGCACCAGGGGACCCCTCTGCTTCTGGCTCACTCATTGCATATTGGGGTTCCTACAACCCCCACTTCAGGATCAGTAATTTCCTCAGTGACTCGCAGAACGAGGGAGATGTGTTTGTAGGTTATAGTACAGGAACTACAAGGGGCAGGTGGAGATCTGCATGGGCACAGTGGACGTCCTCCTGTCCCCTCCTGACTTGCCCCCGCAGGCACCTCCCCATGTTAGACCTCTGGAAGATTCCACAGAAACTCCGTTACATAGGCAGGGTGGGAGTGTGGACAGCCACAGGGAACTGTGCAGAAAGAACATGGCACAGTTCTTCCAGGTTGCGTGGGAAATCCTGTCCACCTTAACCTCCCCTCCAGAATGGGGCAGAGCTCTGGGGTGCGGAGGGTCTGAAGACTAGACAAAGGGAAAAGCAGAGAATTTCTGTGTGACCAGCACCAAGTCAAAACAGCATGGAAGACTGGGACCTGGTGCAGTAACCCTGGCACTCAGGAAGTGGAGGCAGGGGGACAGCAAGCTCCAGACCAGCCATATAGCTACAAAGTGGATAAGAGAAGGGGCCAGTATGATAACTCAGCAGGTAAAAGCGCTCACAGCCTCACAGCCTGAAGAGGAGAGAATGGACCTCCAAAAGGTGTTCTCTGATCTCCACACACACTGACACACACAGACACATACAGATGCATGCATGTGTGTACACGGTAATTACTTTTAGTGTGTTTTATTGGCACCCAACCACACCCTGTGTTTACTCTCCTTGGTGGCTGATCTCTCCTTGTATCAGTCCCACAGGATTGAGTAAACCTGTGACAGAGCCATGGGCCCACGCCTCCTCAAGTCTTTCCTGTGTGGCCTTAGGTAGAAAAATGCTCGCCTTCGCTCTACATGAAAAGCAATGGGGGGTGGGGGTGGGGTGCAATTCGAAGCAGCAGAAAGAACAGGAGAGCTCACTTGAAACAGCTTCGAAAGACTAAGTCTGATGCCGGGCGATGGTGGCGCACGCCTTTAATCCCAGCACTCGGGAGGCAGAGGCAGGCGGATCTCTGTGAGTTCGAGACCAGCCTGCTCTACAGAGCTAGTGCCAGGACAGGCTCCAAAGCCACAGAGAAACCCTGTCTTGAAAAACAAAAACAGACAAACAAAAAGACTAAGTCTGTCAGATCTTCCCCACCCTCCGTTCCCCTCCTTATGAACTGATTTTGCTCTGGGGCAGTTCTAGAATGTTCCTTCCTGGCATGCAGCCCCCAGCTCCCCACGCACACACTTCCTGGAACCTTCCATGAAACTGACGCACAAGAAAAGTGACCATGGTAGAAGGAGGAGGCTCCAGGGTTGAAGTTCCTGGCCTGTCCTCTGGCCAGCAGGGGCCAGCTATGGTGGATAGAAGAGGGGGTCTGAGGAAAACCCAGTGATGGTGTCTTCAGGAGAGAGATGTGCAGATGTCCCTGTCCTGGGCAGTGCAGCCCACCAGAGGGCCTCCTCAGTGCCTGCCCAGGGGGCTAGATGAAAGCCCTGTCTGGGAGCGGAGGATGACCCCCTAAGACGCACTCAGAGGGCAGCTGAGGCTCCATACATGTCCTCTGCAGCTCCTGGCCGTGGTGTTCGACACCTTCAATGACATCGAGAAGCGCAAGTTCAAGTCTCTGCTGCTGCACAAGCGAACTGCCATCCAGCACGCCTACCGCCTGCTTGTCAGCCAGCGGGTAAGGCTGTGGAGGCCAAATCTCTCTCCCTACCCAAAGTACCCCTTTTGGTGTGGCAGAGTTGCTGACCCTGTAGCTGCCATATTGCCCGTGGGAGAAAATGCAGTTGCCCAAATGCATATCGGAATAACTGCCCCGGGCATGGTACCATCTGTCTTCCACCACACTGCCTTCCCTCTCCCCCAGAGGCCGGCCGGCATTTCCTATAGACAGTTTGAAGGCTTGATGCGCTTCTACAAGCCCCGAATGAGTGCCAGAGAACGCTTCCTGACTTTCAAGGCCCTGAATCAGAGCAACACTCCTCTGCTCAGGTGAGAGCCAGGAGCCACGTGGGAGAGTAGTCCTGGGCTAGGAGGCGGGGTGCACTTTACACCACAGCTCTCAGGTGGTCATGTCCATTGGTAATCTGCAAGCCACAGACACCCAGCGACAGTCCACTTCAGTCTGGTTTGACTGAGAAGAAGTGTTTGAAGCTGGGTGAGGTGGTTCATACCTCTAATGCTAGCACATAATGGCCTGAAGCAGGTGGATTGGAAATTTAATGCCACCCTGAGCTATGTAGTGAGGTTGAGGCCAGCTTGGACTATTTCGGGTCTTGCCTCAAAAACAAACAGACAAACAAAGATGAATAGCCAGAAAAGGTGAGATGACTCAGTGGGGCAAGCGCCTGGTAGATTGGCGTTTCATCCCTGGGACCCGCGTGGTGGAAGGAGAGCATCAGTTCTGAAAGTTGTCCTCTGACCTCCACGCACGCGCGCGCGCACACACCCTTCACTCCACCTTGGAAGGACTGAGTCCGAGGTTCTCCAGTTTTGATGCTGGCCTTGAGGCTGGTAGACACCACAATGCTGTGCACTCTGCTGGACACCGCCTGCTGTGGAAGTGGGGGCTCCCTGAACTGAGAGCACCATTTTGTCCGTCCCTGGAGGCCTCTGTTCCCCTAAGGGGCAGTGGTCCAGGGCTCTCTGTCCAGGGCAGATATGGTTACTGTGGACTAAGTGGATTGAGTCATCCTCACCCCTGGGGGACAAAGGCATTCAGGATGCTGCAGGTGAGGGCCCTGACAGTTCTGGGCCCTATAAGATGTCCATCTCCCTGTGAGAGGCAGCCGTGGGTAGGTGGGGGAGAGCAGAGGCTGAATGTCATGTGACTGCCTTGCGGGTGACTGCCTTTTCACTTTGCTTGTGACAGCCTGAAGGACTTCTATGATATTTACGAAGTTGCTGCTCTCCAGTGGAAGGTGAGAGTCCTCCCTTCTGCACACAGCGGTTGGGGAAGGCAGCTCAGCCTGCAGTGGGACTCAGACATCTCAGCCACAACAGGGATCCCAACCCCATGACCCAGCCTTCCCACGCTCACCTTCTCAGAGAGATGGGTCATATGCAGATATTGACCCTGCATGGAGCACTGTGGGCACTCAGCCCCTGTGGAGGCCTGAGCTAGGCTACAGTCCTGACCCTGACCCCATCTCCCCTGGACCCTCTGCATTGCAGGCAAAGAAGAACAGACAGCATTGGTTTGATGAGCTTCCCCGGACGGCCTTCCTTATCTTTAAAGGTGAGTGTGTGTGTGGCCCAACAGGGAAGTAAGCAGTTAGTTCCAGAACCAGGAGGAACCAGGGCCAGCCAGGCACCCATAATCACAGCACTGGAGAGGCTGAGGCAGGAAGATGGCAAGTTTGAGATCATGTTGTACTACATAGCCAAACCCCATCTCAAAAATAAATAAATAAGTAAAAGAAAGTTAAACCAGGGGCTGGAGAGATGGCTCAGAGGTTAAGAGCATTGCCTGCTCTTCCAAAGGTCCTGAGTTCAATTCCCAGCAACCACATGGTGGCTCACAACCATCTGTAATGAGGTCTAGTGCTCTCTTCTGGCCTTCAGGCATATACACAAGACAATATTGTATGCATAATAAATAAATATTAAAAATAAAAGAAAGTTAAACCAGAGGCCCACATCACTGTTCTTCATGGATTCATCATCCTTTAGGTCAAGGCCAGTTTTTTTTTGGTGGTTTTTTTATTTTGTATTTTGGTTTTGGTTTTGGTTTTTTCGAGACAGGGTTTCTCTGTGTAGTCCTGACTGTCCTGGAACTCACTCTGTACACCAGGCTGGCCTCGAACTCAGGGATCTGAGTGCTGAGCGCTGGGGTTAAAGGCGCACACCCATGCCTGGCCTACTTGGACATTTCTAACCTCAACATCTCTTCTTTTCAAACAGGAATTAACATCCTTGTGAAGTCCAAGGCCTTCCAGTATTTCATGTGTAAGTGTATGCCATCCCAGCTCCGGGCCCTGCCCTTCTGAGTCCTTTGTTCTTGAAGGTGAAAGGACAAGAGATCAGAAGGCACCAAGCACGTGGCTCAGGCACTGGGGTCTGTCCAGGCACACCTGGATCGCCATGCTTATTGCGTGTGGTCCCTTCCTGGTCTTCTGGACGCTCGGTTCAGCTCTGTGTCTCTGCTGTAGACCTAGGTCCTTTGGGACCACAGTGGTTAGCTACGAAAGACTGGGTTTGTTTTCTCTACCTTCCCCCATGTACTTACCCCCATATCTGGTGCTTGCATTCGTAGCCGCATGTGATTCTTTGGGGGAAAGGAATTCTAGCCAAGCGTGGTAACTCATGACTGTGGTCCCAGCACTTGGGAGGCTGAGGCAGAGAGATTGCCATAAGTTTGAGGCTAGCGTGGGCCAACACCAAGACTTTATCCGAAGAAAATAGACTCGGGCTGGAAGTACCTCGCCTGGCATTCAGGAAGCCCCAGGTCCATCCCTGCATCACACAGAGGTCATGGTGGAGCAGCAGTTCGGGTCCCCGGCACATTTCACGTGCTCAGTGCTCAGCGAGGCTCTCAGAGCATCCACAGATTCTGTCTAGCGGGCAAGCTCTGGTTCCTTCTGGGAGGAAGAGATGTTCATAGGCCACAGCTTGAGTACAGGGCTCATGACTGATTCCAGGTTTCCAGGTGTTCAGAGGCTTGATTTAAATCAAGGAGGCAGAAATCCATAGAAACCAGCCTCCTGGGTAAGGCGGATCTTCCTGGACCCCATCATCAGTAAAAAGCGTGCCGTATACATTTATTTTCATTTTTATTTTATTTATGTAGGTTTTATTTTTGAGATAGGGTCTCACTCTGGAACCCACTGTCCCACCATTTACCCTTTATTCCAGGCTGGCCTTGAATTGCAGGGTCCTCCCTTTTCCACTGCCAAAGCATTGATATGAGGCAACACGTAGGCCTTTAATCCCAGCACTCAGGAGGTCCAGGCAGGTGGATCTCTGTGAATTCAAGGCCAGGCTGGCCTACAGAGTGTGTTACAGGACAGCCATGACTACACACAGAAAACCTGTCTCGAAACACCACCCCCAAACCTAAAACAAACAGACAAATTAAGAGTCTATGTTGATGCTTCATTTTCAGTAGCTCGTTATTCTGATGTATCTTGTTCTCAGTCTTAACATGAGAGTCCCCTGCAGCATAAGCACAGGACCTGTGACCCACAGTGTGACCCTGCGTCACCTGGAGAATCGCCTCAGGACACACACTAATTTGCCTAGTGTGCTTCAGGTTACCAGAAATAGGTCCTGTCTATTATGTGGGCAGGTCGCCAACTCCACACACACATTCGTCTTTTCTGTTGTTGTATTGAGACAGCCCCGGCTGCTCTGAAACTAACAGAACGCTGGCTGCCTCAGTTTCCCAGGTGTCCGGATGAAAGGTGTGTGCCACTACACTGGTTTTCTTTATTTCATTTTATTTTGGATTTATGTATGTATGTATGTATACATATATAGATGCAATAATATATATAATCAACAATATATATAAATTATTGATTTTTATTGAGCTCTACATTTTTCTCTGCTCCTCTCCCTTACTCTCCCCTTCCCTTCAACCCTCTCCCAAGGTCCCCATGCTCCCAATTTACTCAGGAGGATCTTGTCTTTTTCTACTTCCCATGTAGATTAGATCCATGTATGTCTCTCTTAAGGTCCTCATTGTTGTCTAAGTCCTCTGGGATTGTGATTTGAAGGCTTTTTTTTTTTTTGCTTTATGTTTAAAAACCACTTATGAGTGAGACTATATGATAATTGTCTGTCTGGGTCTGGGTTACCTCACTCAAAATGATATTTTCTACCTCCATCCATTTGCCTGCAAATTTCAAGATGTCGTTATTTTTTTCTACTGTGTAGTACTCCATTGTATAATGTACCACATTTTTCTTCATCCATTCTTTGGTCGAGGGGCATTTAGGTTGTTTTCAGGTTCTATCTATGACAAACAATGTTGCTATGAACATAGTTGAGCACCTGTCCTTGCAACACGGTTGAGCATCCTTTGGATATATTTGGTAGCATTTTTATATGCTTTCAAGTCAAATTTTCAAAACAAATTATATTCAAGTAAGTATAGATTATATCCATTACCTCCCGATGGGTAACTTTTATTGTGACTTATCCTGCCTCAAAAAAAAAAAAAACAGTACATGCATATAGCTTCTATCTTAAATACTTAAGCACACTTTAGGCACCCTTCCCCCACTCTGGTGTGTTTCAGTGGTTAAGAAAGAGTAGATACCATTGCATAATATCACACAGAGAGGGACCACATGGTCTTCCGTGCCCCTTGACAAATGTATCAGTCTATTCAAACAGTCACCAACTCCTGTCATGGACATATTTCCGTGTCTAGTTGCTGGTCCCAGGGTCATTTCCAGACGTGTGAGTGCTGGGTGGAAAGTTCATACATATGTGCGATGTTACTGTGTTTGTGCAGGCATTTTGAGGAAAGCAAAGTTTTATGTTTTTTTTTTTTTTTTTTTTTTTTATGAGTAGGACTATTTTGCCTGCCTGTGTATCTGTGCACTGCGTGTGTGCCTGAGCACTCAGAGGTCAGAAGAGGGCGGCAGATCCCTGGGACTGCAGTTACGATGGTTGTGAACCACCCACCATCTTGGTGCTGGGAACTGGACCTGGGCTCTCTGCAAGAGCAACAGGCCGTCTTAACATCACACAGTCAATTCACAGACAGACAAGCTCATGCCGTCTGTGTTGACAACTTGGGCTCATCTGAACTCAGTTGCTATAGTGACGCAAACTGTGTCATCAGCCATTCCTGGCCCTTTCCTAAGGGCGATGTCGGTCAGTAGTGAGAGCTCTAAGCAGAGGAGGGATCCTCCAGGGACGATGTGTGGCCTTGGCCTTTTTTGTTCACACCCTGTGGGTTCTTGCCCTGTAGGCTGGCAGGCCAGTCCCTCTGACCCCCTCTCATGGCTTCTCTGTTGCAGACTTGGTGGTAGCTGTCAACGGGGTGTGGATCCTGGCAGAGACATTCATGTTGAAAGGTAAGCTGCAGCAGGGACCTCTCCCTGCCCTACTCAGAGCCCCGGCTGACACAGCCGCCATGTCTTTGTCTTCCAGGTGGGAATTTCATCTCGAAGCATGTGCCCTGGAGTTACCTTGTGTTTCTCACCAGTAAGTGTGTTGCCTGACTCTGCCCAGCTGCTGGCTTAAACCCAGCTGTGAGAGCTCTGACTGCAGCATCTCATAGCTCACCCCTAAAACAGAACCTTAAAGGACCCCATCTTAGAGGTTTAGTCTGACCTTCTTACCCTGTTTCAAATCCCTGGATTTCTCACAACCCTCTACCATGTCCCTCAGCCTGGCCTCCCTCTAGCTGTCCCCATCACCACGTTCCTCAGCTGGCCTTTAGCTGGCCAGGCCCAGATCAGCCCCTGATGTTTTCTTCTTCTCTTAGTCTATGGAGTTGAACTGTTCATGAAGGTGGCTGGCCTGGGTCCTCTGGAGTACCTGTCCTCTGGATGGAACTTGTAAGTCGAGCACATGGTCTCCCTGGGGCTGAAGTGTTTGTGGCAGCCATCCTCTCCCCACCCACACCCAAAGGGCAGGCAGCTCTGAGGATACACTTGGAGGGTCAGAGAACAGCAAGTTCTATCTGCCTATGATTCAAGACTCCTGGGGCTCTTACTTGAAGCCTTTAGGGCCACCCACACCAGTTCCCACTGGTCCCCAGGACTGGCTCTTAGTCATCAGACTTAGTCGCTCCCATTAAAACCACAAGGGCTCTGGGCATGATTAATCCCAGCACTTGGGAGGCAGCAGCAGGCAGCTCTCTGCGAGTTCAAGGCCAGCCTGATCTACATAGTGAGTTCCAGGATAGTCAGGGCTAGACAGATAAACCCTGTCTCAAAAAAACAAAAAGCAAAACCCCCAAAACCACAAGGGCCACAGAAGGTGTCACCTCCTCTTGGCTGGCAGCGAAAGAAACCAGAGCTGGTGCGTCTTGAGTCCTGCCTTCAGTTCCTTAGTGTGGCCAGGTCCCAGTGTTACCAGCCCTCCAGAGGCTACTGAGGCCAAGGCTTCCGCCCTGTGCCTAGAGCAACACCATCTACAGAGGCTGTTTTCAGGCACGTGCGCCCTGGGGTCAGAATGCCAAAGCTGAAGCGTAGCCCTGAGCTGTGGCTGGGGGATGGCCAGCTGGGCGATGTTCATTGTCCTGTGGACTGTACCCTGTGACTGGTCAGGACTCTGAAGCTGGCTAAGAGCAGGGCTGCCAGAGGAAGTGGTGGAAGGGGTCCGGGATGTCACTAACAAACTGGCTTCTCCCCTGGCTCCAGGTTCGATTTCTCGGTCACCACATTTGCCTTCCTGGGACTGCTCGCACTGACTCTCAACATGGAGCCCTTCTATTTCATCGTGGTCCTACGTCCCCTTCAGCTGCTCAGGTGCCCTGCAGGGAGGGCTAGGGAATGGGCGGTGGGTGGTGGGCGGTGGGAACCCTTGGCTCAGCCGAGGTTCACTGGCTCGCATGGGCCCTGCAGGATAGGGGCACACAGTGCTCTTGATTAGCAGAACAGTCCGGCCTATGGCCCAGGAAGAGCTACACTGCCCACTTGCCCAGTCTTCAGTTAGGGTGTCTCACCTTTGAGGACTAGAGCGATGTCCCAGGCTTCTGCTCTCGCCTGTCTCAACCTCTGTTCGTGGGTGCCCCTGGCATCCCACTTGCCTATCTTGTCTTCCTTGGGGTTTGGCTCTCAGGGCCTCAGGAGTCAGGGCTGCTTTACTGCCAAGGGGTTCTACCATGTCCCCACTCCCTGCCATGCAAGAGCAAGTCCACTGTGGCTCGTCCCTTTTTTGCACATTCGCCTTTCTTCCCGAGGGTCTCCGAGTGTGACATCCCCTTTCCTGATCTTGTTGTCCTGTCTGAGCTGCTGGCTTTATCTGTCCACTCCAGTGGGGGGGAGTTGCTGCTTTTTTTAAACCACATAATACAATATGAGGCTGGCACGGTCTGTAACTCCTCCGCGGGTCTTGGCCTGCCCCAGTGTCCCAGGTCTGCCCTTATGGTGCCACATTTTGAGTCTTGAGCTCAGCTTCGCAAGGTTTCTCAGCCTCATCTTCACGTGGGGAGAGGAGGGCTTGTAAGGTTCTGGTCCATCTGACGAAGTGGGCCGTGGCCATGCCCCTGCCTCTGTGGTTCCAGCAACACGGTGCTCTCGTCACTCAGGTTATTTAAACTGAAGAAACGCTATCGCAATGTGCTGGACACCATGTTTGAGCTGCTGCCACGCATGGCCAGGTACTGCCCGCCTCTCAGCCTACAGGTCCAGGCGGTATGAGGCTCGTGGAGGGGTTCAGGGGAAGCAGGAACAAGGAGGAATCCCAGGAAGGCTGGATTCAGGGAGTCTGGGGGCTCTTCAAAGAGACAGAATCTGGACCATAGAGGTCCCCTCGGCAGTGCTGACCTGGCTGAGCTGTCTAGTGGGAAGGGCAGGGAGCTGTCAACTTAACCACCTGTGTCTACGTTCACAGGTAAGGGGTCACCTGTGAGCCTACTTTCACAGGTAAGGGGTGCATCTCTGGTTAAGGGGCATCTGTCCCTAGTGTCCCCCACCATGAGCCACGCGGCCCCTCCCCTGCAGACACTTTTCGGTGGTCACTTGGCCAGGGCTAGGGGCATGCCTCCCGCAGTCAGTGCCGGGGGACCAGGATGCGCTGCAGCTACCGCCCCCCTCACCCACCCTGACGGCCCTGTCCCTCTGCCTCCCCAGCCTCGGCCTCACACTGCTCACCTTCTACTATTCCTTCGCCATTGTGGGCATGGAGTTCTTCAGCGGGCGACTGTACCGCAACTGCTGCAAGTATGTGCACGGCGCGGGCGACCTACTCCTAGGCTGGGCACACAGAGCTGAGGGACAGTTTGGGAGCCAGTGTCGCCCATCCCTAGCAGAGCTCAGGCCTCGATCGACACACCCCTCCTCACCCCTCATACGCTGTCCAGGAGAGGCTGGGACCTGGCAAGAGTTTAGACAAATGAGCTTGGCAAGAAGATCACAGGGATGAGGGACGAAGAGCTACATGACACCTCTGTGGCCCTAACCCATCCCCTCCTCTCTAAAAGGATACGAGCAAGGTCCACTATTGATATGACCTTGAGTACTGATAGGTCACCGGTGACCCTGGTACCAAGACCCCATAAAGACGGTCCCCATAGTGCTCAAGTACACATCCCAGACCTCCCTTAGGGTCTGTGTACCTCTCAGCTGGGGACTCAGGACATAGCCTTGTTAGCCAGCTCCCTGGTACATGGGCACCTAACCTTTTCAAATGGCAGCATGGATTTTAACAGAAGAGTAGAAACCTGGAGTGTGGCAAACAGGGTCCCCTCCAGGTGGGGCAACTGGGCCAAAGCTGGTGTACATGGGCAATGCTCCAGAGAAGCCTGGGAGGACAGAGAAGGCCCCCATTTCTTACTACCTCCAACTTGACCTTTGCAGGGTGCAAGCACACCAGTGATTAAGCTTAGGGTAGGATATGGGTGGCACAAGGAGACCCCTAGTCAGGCCTTGTTTTGCATGCTTGTCCCAGAGAGGGTGGTCAGTCATCTTGTGACCCTCCTATCTACTCTTGTGCCCTTCGTCAGCTCCAGCACAGTGGCTGATGCCTACCGATTTATCAACCACACGGTGGACAATAAGACCAAGATAGAGGATGGCTACTACTATCTCAATAATTTTGACAACATCCTCAACAGCTTTGGTGAGTGAGTCCCGGAGGGTCCTCCCGGCCTTGGTCTCTCCGCTCTTTGTAGCCACTGAGCGTCCTTCCTGGGGTCCCCGAACTCACAGCAGTGTCGTGCAGTTGGAGCACGGGCAGATCCAGGCTTGCTCAGGCACCAGACCTCACCATGACGGAGAAGGGAGAGGTCCTAGCCCGGCTGCAATGCCAGCATGGCACACCTGCCTTCAGTGCCATCAGAGGGAACCCAGCACAGTAGTCAGGCAGCCCCTGACCGAGGCCCCAGGGCTCCTCGCTACTCTCTGGTTCCTTGAAAAAGCATAGGAGGGACACAACGCTGGCGTGGCCTTTCAAGAGAAGGGAGAGCCCCCCCTTGCTCCCATCACACACCCAGTTAAGTCTGCTGCTCGCTCCGCTCCTCACTACCAGCCTCAGCCAGACCTGGCCCAATGGGCTCTTCAGGCAAAGGGCACACTTTTCGGAGGGTGGGTTGGGTGGCAGGTGCCCCGGTAAGCAGTTACTCAGGCGCAGAGAGGGCCTTTGACATTGGCCTAAGGCGTGCCCCCTTCCCTTGCAGTGACCTTGTTTGAGCTCACAGTTGTCAACAATTGGTATATCATCATGGTAAGCTCTGGCCCCCCCCACCTTTGTCCTCTCTCGGGGCTGGGGTGCATTTCTCTTACAGTCCCCACAGGGTATGGGTTTTTTTTTTATCATGCTTTAGTGGAAAGCCCCAGTATGCGCACCACCCCTGGCTCTGTGCTACCGGCTGTCTCCCTTCCTCCATGCACCGTGACAGCCTCTGGGCATCTGACCATGGGTCAACAGTGCGACATGCCAGGCCCTGTGGTGGTGTGCCAGCTGCTTGGGAGGATGAGGCAGGAGGATCACTTTAGTTCACAGATTCTGTTTCTTTCTTTTTTTTTTTTTTTTTTAGTTTTTCGAGACAGGGTTTCTCTGTAGCTTTGGAGCCTGTCCTGGCACTAGCTCTTGTAGACCAGGCTGGCCTCGAACTCACAGAGATCCACCTGCCTCTGCCTCCCGAGTGCTGGGATTAAAGGCGTGCGCCACCACCGCCCGGCTACAGATTCTGTTTCTAAAATAAAGAAAAAATACGGTGAGGGTGGGAGGGTAGGAGCAGTGGGGAGACCCTCCCCCATTCTTTAAATTCTCTCCAGTCAAAGACTTGCCTGTGCTGACCTGGGCTCCAGTCAGCCGTGCTGGAGTAGGCTGGGGGCTGATGCTACAGAAAGGAGTACTCAGATCCAGGGAGCAGGAGGAGATGGTGGCTAGTGCCACCTGTGGGCTCACTCTCTACTCTCTCCAGGAAGGTGTCACCTCACAGACCTCCCACTGGAGTCGCCTGTACTTCATGACCTTCTATATCGTGACCATGGTAGGTCCACCACAGCCGTTCTTGGTCCCCTGGGCTGCAGTGTTGGAGAGGTAGGGCCTCATCTAACGGGGCCGTGACATTGTCTTTCCTTGGCCAGGTGGTGATGACCATTATCGTGGCCTTTATCTTGGAGGCCTTCGTCTTCCGCATGAACTACAGCCGCAAGAGTCAGGACTCGGAAGGTCTGTGTGGGTGTCATTGCCCATCTGCTGCACCCTGTTGTCCCCCGGCCTGCTTGTCTCAGTGTATCAGCTGTCCGGCTTTGGCTAGTCTGTCTAGGTCTCATTTGTAGCTGATGTTAAAAATCTAGTAGCCGAAGGGCTGGACAGATGGCTCAGCCGCTAAGAGCACTGGCTGTTCTTCCAGAGGTCCTAAGTTCAATTCCCAGCACCCACATGGCAGCTCATAACCAGCTATGATGGGATCTGATGCTCTCTTCTGGCCTGCCGGCATACATGCAGACAGAGCACTCATACCTTAAAAAGTACAGAAATTTTTTAAAAAATCTAACAGCAGAAAAATGCTTACAACTTCTAAATGAAAAACAAGTAGCTGCCATCGTTTCATTCTGAGTGGAGAAGGCTGTGGGAGGAACACCCTTGGTGTCCTTCCCAACCCTGGACAACTCTGACTGGCATGTACCACTGAGCCTTCTGCCAGCCAGTGCCACGGTTCACCACAGCACACTCAGACCACCACAGCTCCCGATTCCCATGTGTGAATGCCCCTTGCAGAGGTAAACAGTGTCCCTTTCGCAGCCAAGCGGCCTGGCTAAGCTCAGTCTTCATTCTTAGCTCAGCGGTAGAGTTGTTTCTATACACATACATGTGCAAAGTCCTGAATTCCAGCCCCAAACTAAAGAAAGAAAACCAAACCAAACACCACCAGAACTGCCCACCCACCCCTACTTGTTGTTAAATCGACGTGGTGTAGAGCTGGGTGATGTTATATATGTTCGCTAATGTGTGTGTTTAGAGACAGTCTTGGATATAACTGAGGCTGGCCTTGAACTTGCAGTCTCCCTGTCTGTGCATCCTGAATGCCACCTGATATTTTTTTGTTTTCTTGGAGACTCGTGAAGCCTTCTGTGAGATAGGTGCTCCAATAGCCCGAGGTAGCCAAGGCTGGCCTTGAGATAGTCCACCCACCTACTCTCCACGCCTAAACCCCGAGATTACCATACCCTGCTTCCCCTGATGCCCTGTGTCCCCTGTAAGCTGTTGGCTGAACATGATTTCCTGACATTAGTGAGGGGAGGGGAAGGAGGGACCACGAGTGGCTGGGACAGGAATGGGTGCTGCTTGAGGGAAGTGCCAGACTCCACAGTGGGAGAAAGTGGTTATGGGACCCAGCTCTCCCCACCCTCAGTGGACAATGGCATCGTCATCGAGAAGGAAATATCCAAGGAGGAGCTGCTGGCCATCCTGGAGCTTTATCGTGAGGTGCGAGGTGCCTCCTCTGACATCACCCGGCTGCTTGACACCCTCTCTCAGATGGAGAAATACCAGGTAAGGGGCCATAGGCTCCACAGTTGCCAAGGGGAGGGGCCTGCCATCTCAAGCTGGTGGCATCCTTGCAAATATCCATGGGGTAGGAGCAGCCTCGGTGGTACAGCCCTAGGGCCCAAGCCCAGGTGAGTCCGTGCCATCTGCAGCCACACAATCCTCACAGCCTCCATTCCTCCCTAGCAAAATTCCTTGGTGTTTCTGGGACGGAGATCAAGAACCAAAAGTGACCTGAGCTTGAAGATGTACCAGGAGGAGATCCAGGTAGGGGCAAATGAATGCCCCCCCCCGGGGGGGGGCAGGAGGAGATCCAGGCAGGGGCGAATGCCCTGGGGAGATCCAGGTAGGGGCGAATGCCCTGGGGAGATCCAGGTAGGGGCGAATGCCCTGGGGGGGGGCAGGAGGAGATCCAGGTAGGGGCAAATGCCCTGGGGAGCCCTTCTGGTGGAAGGCCCCGGAAGGTTCCATGTCTTCCCAGGGACTCAGGACTGAGACTTCACAGGCTTGACATTTTGATGTGTTCCTGGGTGGCCACTTTCCCATACAGTCCCTTAAGGGCATCCAGTGACCCTGTGGTTCTTTCTAGAGATGTGTAAGGGAAGAGACCGGGCAGGCCCTGAAGGACCTGCTGCCCACGCAGGGTGGTTGGTGGTTGCTTCCCTCTTCCTTCGATGGAAATAAGCTTTGCTGGGCTCAGGGCTGTGGGCATTTTGACTGGGGGACTTCCTTCCTCCCACCATCTCCCTGTCTCACCATGCCGGCAGCTGTTGTAGTGTAAACACTGCGTAAAACACAGCGTGCTTGGCAGCATTGCCCTCCCAGCAGAACCCGCGGCCTGAGCCCTGCTCAGCTCAACTTCCTCTGGGGTTTCTGGATTTCCTATGCAACAGCTTCATTAACACAAGAAGTTGTGGTTGGAGGCCACCGAGCCCTGGCGCCACAGACCCCACCCAAAATGACAGAACAGTAAGCCCCACAGAGCAGCGGGGCAGCTGCCCAGGAGAGGCCAGGCAACTCCCATCCTCCCCCAGCCTGCCAGCCCACGCCAGGCTTCAGTCTCCCCTCTGCTAACGAGGGAGCGCAGCCATGGGCTCACTCTGGAGACTATGGCTTGGGGTCTGGTTTTTTAAACTATGAGGGAACTGTTTAACACTGGCCCTATCCGAGTACCCCAGGCCCTGGGAGTGGCTGGCTTTCTGGGTCACCCTGGGAGGTAAGCAACTGTGAACTTAAAGGCCCCTGTGACCCCTCAGAGGGCAGCAGAAGCAGTGTCTGAATGGAGGTGACAGCCTCTGAGCCTGGAGAGGCCTGAGCTCCTGCAGAGCCCCTGTGGGCCGTTGTCCCTATCCCCTGGGTGGTGATGGGTGCTTATCTTGGTGGGTGGGATCCTGGCTGCCTCCGCTGACCTCACCCAGCACAGGCTCTTGGCTGTCCCCCACGTCAGCTGTGGGGAGTGGGTTGGAAGGTGAGCCACCTCTCAGCAGCACTCGCCTCTGTCCTAGGAGTGGTACGAGGAGCATGCCCGGGAGCAGGAGATGCAGCAGCAGCAGCTTAGGGGCAGCGTGCCTGGCCCCACCACCCAGCAGCCTCCTGGCAGTCGCCAGCGTTCCCAGACTGTCACCTAGCCGGGCCCCGTGGAGCCAGCTCTTCTATGCAATAACCCCACAGTATTATGTACTACCACGTATGGAACCCGTGTGTATGCAGACACACTCATATATGCACATACTTAACAGACAGAAAAAGACTAGCCGGGACTGGTTTGAACCGCCTTGCTCTGTCTTTCTGAGCTTCAGAAGTCGGCTTGGGCTAGAGGACCAGGCCTGACTGAGCTCTTCCTACCATGGAAATCTCTGGAAGCCCTCTTCTCCAGAAGCTCCTTAAACAGGCTGTGCCATCTCAGCAATGCCAGCTTCCTGGGGACACCAGGTGGGCCCTTCCTGCTGCTGCCTCGGGCCCCATCCCTGCAGTGTCCCCAGTAGTCCCCACACCCGTCACAGGTGTCCGTGTCTGGTATTCGGGACAAAACCACTAGGAAGAAACCCCACTGCCTGCAGGACAGCAGTGTCTGTGGGTGATGGAAGTGTCTGTGGGAGCAGTGTCTGTGGGACGGGTGCCTGGGATGCAATGGGAAGCCAGGCCCAGCAGGAGGCCCCAGGAATTTGACCGAGGGTAAACCGTGTCCCTTCTGGGAGTCACTTCTTCAGCAGAGTTCATTTGAGCCGGTGCTGAAGGCTGGGGAGGGAGCCACAGCCCAGGATCCCTCACTGCCCATCACTGCAGCCTGGCGCCACCGCACCATGGACTCTGAGGCACAAGGAGGACTGGCCTCCCCAAGGCTCTCATAAACTAGGTGGGTTGGGGAGGAGGGTCAGGTAAGCATTCAGCCACCTCCACCTCCTGTGGTCACTTCATCCCACTGTTGTGTCCATCAAGGGGTAAGGTACAGAGCAGGCAGGCAGGCTTGGGGAGAGCTGGGAAAGTGTCTCCTACCTCCTGGCACCTCCAGCTAACCTGGCCTTCCATGCCTGTTGCTTCTTGGGACTCAGAATGGGCAGGCATAGGTCCTTTCATGTTCTCGCAGCTGCAGGAGACAGAGCTAGGCCCAGCACCCCACTCAGCTAGCTGATCCTGGGGCCAAGCTGGAAAGCGGGTGTTTTCACTCTGAATAAAGCACAGCCCCCCTGGGAAAACCACTGCTTCCCACAAGCAGTCAAGAGACTGGTAGCATCCCCTTAACTCTGAAAGGCTCTTTGCCTCCACTGGAGCCCAGCCTGGACTCCCGAGCCCTCTCTCCAGAGAAGTAGCTTCATTTGCATAGCTGGGTGCCTTAGTTTTTGTGTATGGGCATTTTGGAAGCAAAAAGAGGGGAGGCCTCTACAGAGGGCCTAGGGCCTCTGAGCATCCTGGTCCTAGGCCTTCCTCTACCCCAGGAATTGTTAAGCACCCCTTAGCGTAGGGGAGAAGGGCCCAGGTGTGGGGACCAGTCTGGGGCCTAATATGAGGTACCAGAACCCCTTGGGTTTAGCACATACCAGCCAGGCACCAAACCCCACCCAGTCATGTAGACTGGGGACACCTATCCCCATAGGGTCACCTTGGGCACACCAAGCTGACTCTCAAACTTGCTAAGCAGGGGCCAGATGGCTGTGATCCAGGCTGTGAGCTGAGATGCCCTGGGACCCTGTCTAGCCCAGATGCCCTTCCCTCAGTTCAGCTGAGTAGGGACTGGGGCTCAGTCACAGCGTAGCAGGGGTAGCTATGGAACCATGTTCTTCCCCTCCCCCACCCCAGCCTTACTCCACACCATGCAGACAATCATTTTGTACGGATCAGGAGCCACGTCAGAAGGTTTTATACAATGATTTGCTACCTGGAAGCCCACTGTGCCCAGATTTCTGGTGTGTCAATAAACAAGCCTCTGCTTTGTAGATGCTTCTGCCTTTAACTTCCAGCTGGGGGTTGGGGCTCTACTGACCCCACCCAGCCCCACCCAGCCTTCCAGTCATCTGCCCAAGCAAAGGACAGAAGAGACCTGTGGGCCTCTTCTGATACACTTAAAATAACTTGTCTTTTATTTATTTCTTTCTTTTTTTGGTGGGGGTGGGGGACCAAAAACAATCAAGTTTCAGCTGAAAGCAGTCAGGGAATGAGTGGCATTTTTAAAAGGCCAGTCATACCACTTGTGAGAAGCCCCTGTGGCGAGGCTCTGCCCCTGGCTCCCCTTGAGGTAGGCACAGGACCCAGGCTGGCTCCTGTTTTGTAGGTTGGGGAGCCAGGGAGTTCTGAACAGAAAGTTCTAGAAGAACCTGGATCCACGGCCCATTGTGGCTGCCACTCACCAGGTAGGGTAGGATCCAGTGGTTTTTGCGCCACCTGGCACAGTACCATGCACAGCCGGTAACTTGACCTGTTTCTTCTGACTGTAACACTACATGGGAGGCTGAGAAACCACCCGCTGGCTCTGTTCAGCCAGCACTGGTGCAGGACTCAGCTGAGGCTGCAGACCATGGAAGAGCTTAAGAGGGAGGCACAGGGCTGCCCAAAGCCCAGGAGTGACGGGGGGCAGACAGGCTGTCCTCCCCAAGGCCTCTGCAGTCATTCAAATGGGAGATGGGGTGGTCCCCAGCAAAGCCAGCTTCAAGTCCCCACACTCAGGCTGCTGGGTGCTGGTAGTCAGGACACTCTGCTCCCGCAGTGACACACCACCTTCCCTGGAGCCCCATGGGAACCGCAGAGGCCCCCCCCCCCACCTCCACTTCTATCAGGAGGTAGGAGAATCACCCCTAAACCATCAGGCCGAGCAGCTTCAGCCAGACCTCTTCAAGTGAATCACCCTAAATTCCGTGAGCAGGACCACAACAAGGAAGCTGGCGTAGAAGAGGAGCAGGCAGAAGCCATACGCCTTGCTGAGCTGGAAACACTGAAGCGGGACGGAGACCAGGGAGAAGACTAGGCTGAGCCCCAGGGCGCTGGCCAGCACCCACACCAGCAGTCCGTCCGGTTCCAGCTGTGGGGAGAACAGGAGAGATTGTTCAGCACCCACGGCTATGGGGTCTGCAGTGTAGTGTCTTATCTACCAGCCTCCCCTTGTGCCCGCTTGTGCTCTTCCTGGACTCCTGCGCTGGCGTGACGGGCATGCGTTCCCACGCCACACTTGTGCAGTGCTGGGGCTTCAAACCCAGGGCTTCATGCATGCCAGGCAAACACCCTGCCAACCGAACCACATCCTCCGTCACCCAACACCTTTTGGGCACAGCATCATGCTCTACAGCCTAGTCTGGCTTTGACCTTGAGGCAATCCTTCTGCCTCAGTCTCCCGTGTCCTGGGATTATAAGTGTGCACCTCCATATCTGGGTTCTGGCTGCATTTTATATACTGATTTCTGTGTGGCTGAGAACATCCTACATCGAGATCCTGGACAAGCAGGATGCAGGGAGAAAGCTGGGGGTGGGGGTGAGCAGACCTAGGGTGGGTATGGAAGTGTGCAGCAGACACATCTTCCAACCCTTCGGTGTGAATGGAGAGCCAAAGAAGTGGCAGCTGTGTGGATGTGCACGGTGTTGAGGACTTGTGGTCAGCCCTTATCAGTATTGTGTGTGACAATAGTACAGGTGGCCCCGGGAACGGGTTTGCTTGTTTTGTGCAAAATCTTCCTGTAGAATGTCAATGAGGCATCCCGCCTTGACATCTGGGGTATTGGGCCTGAGGTGGTCCATCCTGCCTTCTGGAGTTTTCCAGCCTTTTGAGGGGAGAATCTTAAGCAGAATCCTTGTGTAACATCCGTCGGCCCCAAAGAATCTTGTTTAAAATGCAGACTCTCTGGTCTGAGGCTGTGCTCAGCTGTTGCACACAGGAAGCCCTGCACTGCATGATCAGGGCTTGGTGGCTCACACATGTCTCAAGCTCAGCACTCAGGAGGTAGAGGAAGGAAGATTAATAGTTCAGGCCTCCCTTAGCTACATGGGAAGATCAAGGCCAGTTTGGGCTACACAAGCGAGCACCTGTATCAAAAGGAGGGAGGGTGGCTGGCTAGGATGGCTCAGTGGGTGAAAACACTTGCTGCATAAACATGAGGTCCTGGGTTTGATGCCCCTCCCATGACTACTATAACCCTAGCACTGGAGGTGGGCAGAGACAGGAAGATTGCTGGGGCTGGCTGGCCACCACTCTACCCAAATCATTGAGCTCTGAGTCCAGTGAGCACCCTATATGGAGGAAGGGAATCAAGAGGTCCCTTAGTGTCTACCTTCAGCACCTGTGTATGCATAGGTATGTATAAACTGTCCACACATGTGCATACATACAGCAGACTCCAGAGCTAGAGGTGCAGGGGTAGCATGATACATGCTTAGCGTGTGTGCACCATAGACTTTCCCCAAAACACATGTCATGTCTCTGATGTCTCAGTCAAGTCTTAGCATTCACGAGAACCCAGGCCAGCCTTAGACCGGGCGGTGGTGGCCCATGCCTTAAATCCCAGCACTCAGGAAGCAGAGGCAGGTGAATTTCTGTGAGCCTGAGGCCAGCCTGGTCTACAGAGCAAGTTCTATGACAGCCAGGGCTACACAGAGAAACCCTGTCTCAAAAAACTGAAATCAAAAAATAACAAGAGCCCTCCCTTAATATAATGGGCCCCACCTTCTGGGGCATCTCCCTTCTCCCAGCTCCTCCATGTGGGCAGTACAGGGGTCTGACTTCCAGCTCCAGTCTCACCCCATGCATGCATACCCAGGTAGCTGGGGTCTGTCGTCACTCCAGGGCACTGACAAAACTGAACAGGACCAAATCCGCAGGCTGCCTGCCCATTCCATGCAAGCTGTATCTTAGCTACTCTGTCTGCTTGCAGGGAAACTCCAACCCCATGCAAAATACTTGCAGGATATTCTGCAGTCATGCTTAGCCGTCCTCACCTTCACCTCTGCAGCATGGTTCCGAACGATGTGCAGCAAGCAGCCCAGTCCTACACCCACCAGGATGTCTGCAGCCAGTTCAGGAAGCCATGCTGGAGCCCGCAGCCCACCCTCATAGCAGCTCCACCCCAGCCCTGGACGCCTGGCTTTCTTTATTGTCTACATCCAGGGTCCTCCTGCTCGGAGCAGGAGATGCTAAGGTTGCTGATAAAGTGGATGTTAAGAGCCTATTTTGCACTCAGCTTAAGAATGTCAGAAATGCCTGGTGCCTGAGCACTCAAGCAGATGGGGAAACTGAGGCTAAATGACCATACCCCTGAGCCTTACAGTAAGAAGCTGAGGCGGGACCAAAGCCGCACCTGTAGATCATTCCAGGTTGGCTCCTTTCTGCTAACCTGAGGGTGAGGCTTTCACAAGAGTCCTACAAGAGTGGACTCTCAATTCCCCAACAACAAATGCAAAGATGAAGCCGTAGGTCCCTGGCCAGTCCCAAGGGTGTTGCTGAGAGCCCACCTGTGACTCTCAGTGCTGGGACACCACACCGAGGCTCAGAGAAGCCCCAATAAAGGATACTGAAAATGATGCCACCAAAACAGGCGGAGAACGCCATCCGAGGGTAGCCCTGGCGGGCCAGTGTGAAATCCGAGAATGCATCTGCAGAGAGAGAGAGAGAGTAGGCTGTGAGGGGGAGGCTCCTGTTTACCTAGTCAGTCAACAAGCACTGAGACAGGCCCTCTCGGGGACCCAGCACCCCCTAAGACACCCTCCACTCTAATTCCATTTACCCCACTCTTTCTCACTGGGGGCAACCCTAAGGGTATGGTACATACCCCACTAGCTCTCATGCACTAGCTCTCATGCATCTTTGTGTGTTCTCTTTTGTAAGACGCTCAAAGGCCTTTGCTAAAGGACAGCTGGGTTCTGGACTCCCAGCTCCATGCTAGAATGTTCCTGTTCAGTAGGCAGCCTGGTCAACCATAATCAAGCTGCTGTGGCTAAACAAGCGGTATGGGTGTGTATGTGGGGTAGCCTGTACATCACAACCCCACATATACAGGTAGGCATGGTTGGCTGTAATAGATTTTACACACCACACACAGAATGATAAGTCACTTAAAAATGACAGTGGACGCCCCACTGGTGCAGAGGATATACACCCTGGATGTCCTCTTGAGATACGACTATGGCTAGGGAAGAAAAGAGCCACCCCAGGGCCCCAAGTCACCTCCAATGCTGTTCCCCCAGGCCAGGAGTGTGAGACCTAGTACAGTGTTGCTCAGACGGAAGACCACGCCCAGGGACCGCAAGATGTTCACCACCTCAGTGGCAGCTGCGTTGATCCACAAGGCACTGGTCAGGAAGCCCAGGAAAGCAAAGAGCTGCGGAGGGGATGGGCATCCTGATGAAACCCCAGCCAGCACCCAGTAGGACACAGCCTCAGGTTATCCATAAGCTGGGTTGCAAGTACCTAGAACCCAGGCTGGGGTGTGAGCCAATGGCACAGTGCTCAGGACAGTGAGGTCATTAGTGTTTGTTATACAGTAAGTAATCAAGAAAAGGTCGGAGCTCAGTGCTATTTGGTGTGGTGGGGATCCTTTATTATTGTTGTTATTATTTGACAGAGGTTCTCACAATGCACAGTCTGTCTTCAAACTTCCAGCCCTGGCTGGTGATGACCTTGAAAAACTGATCCTCCTCCAAAGGCTCCCAAAAGTTGGGATTATAACCACACATTTTGTTATCCCTCTCTCTACACAAAAAAAAAAAAAAAAAAAAAAAAAAAAAAAAAGGTTTTACATTTATTTATTTTGTGTGCGCATGGGGGCACACTCCACAGTGAGAATGTGGAGGTCAGGGGACAGCTTAGAGGAGTCAGTTCACCTTCTCCACCATGTGGCTTCTGGAGATGGAACTCCTGTATATCTACGTGAGACCAGCCTGGTCTACATGGTGAAAACCTTGGGGCTTAGGGATGTAGCTCAAAGTGTTCACTGAGCATGTGCAACATCCTGGGTTT